GGGGAGATTTGTAACATCCTGTTTCCTGTCATTTCTTATTTCAGGGTCGTGGACCAGAAGTCGATTGTATAAAGGTTTTGGGCTTTAAGGAGGTAATGTTTAGTCCTTGTTGAAGGAGGTAATGATGGTTAAAAGATTTAACCCTTGAATTGTGTATTGGGTCGAAGGGTAGAAAGGGAAAAGTCATAGGTCGGGATTCTTGCATTAAATATGGATTTTAGTTCGAGAAGTTTTTAGTCAACATCAATTAGCTTAGATTGTGGGTATTTTCAATACCTTTTCGTGCATATAAAGAACGCCAAAATCGGAGTTGAATCGAAGAAGTTGTGATAGTTTGAATTTGTGTTAAATTTGGGATGAAGGGTAGTACGTTGGGTGTACCTTAGGTACGTTGGGCATACTAGCAACTTAAGTCGCGCCTCTAGAAAGCGTACGTTGGGCGTACCATTTGGTACGTCGGGTGTACGCGATCAGAACCCAAACACTAAATTGAGGGTTTTGAGCCCTATTTAAGCTCTATAAATTCTCCAAACCCTTTCCATTCTTAGCCTCAATCTCTCCAACGTCTTCCCTTGAAACCCTAACCCTAGTTTGAGCCTTGTGATCCAAAGAGTGTGCTTTCGGGAACCTTTGAAGGAAGAATAAGATGGTGATAGTGCTTGGAAGGTTGAATCAACCTTGGATCTGGAAGTGCTCCTCCCTCATTCATCTCCAGAACGTATAAAGTTAGAAGCTTTATGAATGTTTCCTTAGATCTTGCTAAGTTCTTAAGTTTTATGCATTTTTGTCCCATAGCACTGGTATTATTGAGTATGGCTTACTCTAGACCATAAGAGTTGCCCTTTCAGACGTTTTTGAGTGCTAAGAGCCATAAAAATGTGATCTTGGACCTTCTAAACCTTCCATGCAAGAGTTATGATGTCTTAATGGATTATTAAGTTAGGGTTTTTATCTTTTGGACCTTTTCTAGCCATGGAAAGTCATAAAGGTGGAAACTTTATGACTTAGGAAGATGTTTTGGGTCTAGATCTGAGTTTGATTGAAAAGTCCTTAAGAGAATAAGTGCTTAATGGAGGAGTATGAACAGGTCGCATACGTCGGGCGTACCTGGGAGTATGTTGGGCGTACTAAACTCAAATCATGTACGATGGGCGTACTCAGCCAGCCTTAGATCTTGACTTTCTTTGACTTCCGTTGACCGTTGACTTTTTGACCAATTTTGATTTTGGGGCTATTGATTCAGATTATATTTGGTTTTGGTTATAGTAGATTTGTGGGATCAAGCAGTGTAGAAGGGAGTATATCGCAGTGTTTCTGGGTTATTTTATTCAGGTGAGTTTTGCCTCATTGTACTCGTGATTCGAAGTCACCGATGTCAACCCACTAGTTTTGGTTATCATTTAGTAGAGGGATGCCTTAGGGACTGTATGTAGTCACGTAGGATAGACTGAGGACTCTTGATCTAGGCTTTCTTGCATGTTCCTTGTTTGGTTGTGGCTCTAAAGTATGATCACCTGTCCGGGCTTCTATCTCACCTCTGGGTATATACGGTTATGCATTCCTTGGATTGTTGGTTATGTATCCTTGTGTACATTATGTTGTTGTGTTGTAGTGGTCGGCTAGATTTGTGTATATATCCTTGTATGATAGGATGTAGTAGTAATGGAATGTTGGTTAGAGTACCAGTAGGTTGGTTATCGTCTAGTGGAGTGCCTTAGGGGTTGTATGTTGTCATGTAGGATAGCCTGAGAACTCCTGATCTAGGCTTTCTTTCCTGTTCCTTGTTTGGTTGTGGGCTCTAGAGTATGATCATCTATTCGGGTGGCTATCTCACATATGGCTACTTATGGTTACGCATTTCATGGGGGGTAGCTGGTAATGGGGCAGTGTGCTATGAGAGGACTAGTAGGCGGTAGTGAGCCGTATGATTGATATTGCCTGTATTATATGCCTACTTGATTCTTGTTTGTTTATTTTTCGACATATGGTAGTGTTTGAGGTTGACGCGATCCTGCTATGTGTTGGAAGCCAAGATAACTGGTGTTGGCCGACTGCAAGTCGTAGGCACGGAGGCTCGAGAAGAGCGGTTGGGTTGAGGCGGAAGGCCAACAAACCTTGGGTATTACAGTCTGATGACTGATTGGACCCGTTGCACGTTTTCATCCCATTCTGATGACTGATTGGGCCAGGGTATTCCAATCCGATAATTGTGGGCCCCTTATGCATGCTAGTATGTTTTTTGTATAGGGTATTTTGGGGAAAACTCACTAAGCATTGGGCTTACCCAGTTGTTTATGTTTCAGGATTCTATCGGTGATCGTGAGAGGGCAAAGGCGGGACCGTACACACTCATCAGCAGCATGGAGGATTACGCGTTTCTTATAATTCTCTGATTTTCAATAAATGTAATTGAGAATAAATTGTTTTTCTTAGAATGGATTTACAATTGGGAAGTTTTACCTTAGTAAAAATAAAAATTGTTTGTTGTGAAAATAGTACGTTACAAAGTCCTTGAAGAAGGTTGTGTAGGTCATATACAAGGTGCTTCTTCTCATAGAAGGTGCAACTTCTCATGGAAGGCTGAAGAGTTGTACTCTATATCGAAGGTTACAAACCTTCGATATATCTTTTTACTTCGGTGTGCTTGTATTTGGATCTTGATGTAGAAGTCACAATGTACATTTTGAGTCTGTTGATAGCACTATAAATAATGTTCTGGTCTTGAGTATTAGGTAGAGAGATTTCTTACATTCCAAACATGTACTTGAGATTGCTTCCAAACTAATATGAGCTTAAACATAATTATTTAGATCTTGTGTTTATTTCCTTATCGTTTGATTCATGCTTGAAGTTCTTAATTCCGCTATGTCATTTCATTGGGATCTTATACAGATCTTAGATTGTAAAGATGAAGATGATTTGTTCTTCCTTTTCAACACAAATGTTGTTCTTTAGGTTTCCTTATTTGACGATGATTGATTTTGTTTGGATTTTTTTTTGAACAACAAGATGATTTAATTAGAAACCAGGCTAGCAAGAGGCTAGAATTACAATAAGTTCAAACATTCTCTAGTTAGACAATCGCACCAAGATTGCCAATTTAACAATTTTCCCTCATTACATCTAATTTTGATCCAATTGAAAAACTGGACTTTCATCTTACTCAACAGATCATGACCATTCCTCACGACATTGTTGAATGTACGTTCATTCCTGTATTTCCAAATAACCCACATTGTGGCCATGTTTAAATTGGATTTTGTTTGGATTCCGTTCTTGTTTTCTTCATGTTTAAATTTGATTTCACAACTAGAAATTAACGAAAAGCCTAACCTAAACTAAAACAATAAGGCAAGGAGCACGTTATTTGAGTTGTATGTTTTTGTTTTGTTTACAAGTTTGGTTTCTCATTTTATTAAGGTTATTATGTACTAATTAATAATGAAATATATATATATATATATATATATATATATATATATATATAATTAAAAATAATATATCTTTTATTAATTGTAATCTAATCAAAACGACACCATTTTAAGAAAATAGAATGCAACTCGACCAATCAGTCGGTAAAACTGAGTATATTTTTCAGTGGAATAAATGTCACAATAGCTTACATTTTGATAATATAAATTAGAGAAAATGATCATAATAGTCATTTTTCAAAGTTTTTATCATAAAATAGCCAAAAAAAATGACCAAATTAGCCACAATTTTCGGAGGTGGACCGCCTACGAAAATGTAGATTTTCGTTGTTGCCTTCAATTTTTATTTTTGCAAACTTCGAACATTCATAATTATTTCATAGCAATTCCGTTTTAGCCGAACTTGTTTTCATTCTGTTCTCTGCAACGAGAGTTTTCCATTGACATATTACACTCCAAATTTAGATATCGGGAAATCATATACTTTTTTAGCTTCAAAGTAGGATAGTTGGTGAAAAAAAAAAAAAAAAACTGAACTTTGATTATTCATAAATTTCGCATATGAACTCCATTTGAGATTAATTTTTTTCGTTGTGTTCTTTGTAACAAATGTTTTCCATTGACATATTACACTATCAATTTCGATGTGGGGAAGTAATATTTGACATGCCACCCATATTTTTACATATGATATTCATAATAATCATCGTATCATTTTTGTTCTCCCAATCATATATATATGGATCGACTTACGAAAACCTAGAAAAAGATTTTTGACAGGCCACCCACATTTTTATAGATGGTGGTATGCAAGAATTATGGTTAATTTGGCCATTTTCTATTTTAATGGCTATTGTTTTGTAAAAACTGCTGTTATGGTTACTTTCTTTCTAAATTATATAGTTCAAGTATAAGATATTTTTAAAGTATTTTAAATAGTTTTTTACTTATTTGTGCATTATAATCTTAATATAACACAAGACTCTAATAAACTTAAATTTTGGAATGGTAATCTTTCTAAAATACAAATAGTATAATTATAACAGTTACTCACTCCTAATTCCTAAATAATAAACTTTATTTCAGTATTATTTTTTTTTCTATCCATCATATATATCAGGAAGTTGTTAGCCTTTTTTTTTCTTTTTTGTCACTTTCTTGTTAAATACATAAGAAAATATTTCACTATCAGTTTTCTTTCTCTTCCTCTCACTCTCTTCACCCTTTCTTCTCTGATCCGATGTCATGGATCTCAATAAATATCTGCTTACATAGGTAATATACACCACGTTATCTTCAAATATCTCATATGATATTTGTTTTATTCCCTCTGTTATTTTTAATATATTCCTCACAGTACTTGGAATAACAAATAAACAACTAAATAACATATAATTCTTGTTCTCCACCGTTTGCAAGTTCATCAAACTTACAAATATAATAACGTTAATTGTTTTGGAGTAACAAAAATGTTAAACCCAAAACATCTTTAATCTTTTCATACAAAAAAAATTAAAAAAATAAAAATTATGCATACTATATTTTGGATCTTGTGAAGTTACCTTGACGTTAAGGAATGTAATTAAGATGATACTGGTTATGGTCGTCATCCTTCCAATGATTTTGATTCCAGTAAGATTGATCTAAGTTTCCTGTTAGATCAAACAGACCTTCATCTGTACTGTGTTGCCAATTTTCTATCCCTGCAATTCCACCGTTGTTTCTCCTGTTTCCATAAATGGATAACTCAATGTCCGCCGCCTGGTCCATGAACCCCGCTGTTTCCACCGTCCATTGAATCTGGTTACAGTTATGATTCCCAACGACATCCTCTGTGTTCTTCTGCTGCAACTGGAAGGATGGAATGCCGGATAACTGATCCGTCGATGAGGTCATCATGTTGGTAAACGCCCCAATCTCCGATGACATGTTTCCAGCTGATGGTTGGTTCACCATTATAGGATCGAAGGTAGTGATTGGAGTAGAAGACTGAGGGATATTGAAGAATCGTCTGGATGATTCATTAAAATTAAGCATCATCGCCGGGGTTGAGTTTGTAGAATTACTCCCTGAGGCATCCGTCGTGGTAATACTCGTCGTTGTTGTTGCTGTTCTATGCGGCGTTGAGCTGTCGCTGCTTGAGTTTTCTGAATTCGAAGACTTGCGCTCGGCGGCGACGGCGTCGGAGCAAGGGATACTAATCTTAGATTTTGGCTTGCTTGAGCGCTTGGCTTTACGGATGCCGCCTCCAACGGGAACGTTGCGGAGTACACCGCCTTTTGTCCAGTATCGCCGGCAACTTTTGCAGAAGTGGCGTGGCTGAGACAGGTTGTAGTTGTTGTAGTAACAGAATTTTGTGTTTGAAGAGTCGCAACGTGGACACTTCAAATCCTGGTGGTGGTGCCGATACCTCCTGTCTCCTCCTCCGGCGAACAACGCACCTCCTCCGCCGCTGCTCTCAAACGAATGTATATCCTGCATTTCTTCGAATCTTGTTTGTTTATCCTTAGTCAAAAGATCTGATTATAATAAGTGCTTCTGAGCTTAGATGCCGTTTTACGAATGTAGCCCTACCCCAAGTAAAGAATCACAAATTGCTCCTGTGTCACTACTAACTCCATCAATGATAATAATTATTAATTAAGTTTAGAGTTACATAAATAGTCCATGTGGTTTGGGGTAGTTTGAATAATTGGTCCATTAGTTTTTTTTTAACTTTTTCTTTAACTCCTATCGTTTTTATTTTATGTTTTTGCTGTGTGTTTGATCGAGGAGGTATGAACTCATATGTAAAAAGATTGTATTGTCTTTTCTATTTTATTTTTAATTAATTTAATGTTTATTTGTTATATACTAATAAATTGTTCAATAAACATGTGGGTCCCACCTCAATATCCATATTCCACCCAACCTACCCATTCTCCTCACTTTTTTTTTTCTTTTTCCATGCGGCTAGTGTTGGGTTATGAGGATTTTTAGCCCAAAAAATACACAAATGAAAGTGTATAAAATATAAAACCATAACTCATGAACTCAAAAGTAGATCCATTTTTAAGCAATCAAAATCAACCATAGGATAGTATAAGAAAACTTACATTCGAAGCCTTTGCTTTTTTTCTTCTCGCTAGTTGATTGGATGGGGAGGATCCAAAATAGAATCTTTCTGATATGATTGCACCCAAGACACAAATAAATAACACTGGAACCACCATAAATCCACTAGCACAAACCCTAGCCAATTAGGGTTTCTGGACGATTTACGTGGTGCGTGTATAGACCTACGCAACGCGTCAGATGGGACGGTTAGAGTTTTAGTGGGTGTTTGAGAGTGTTTTTTAAAATGACTTATTGGCTTTTCAAAAAGTCAATAGGTTAAAAAGGTGTTTGGTAAACACTAACTTTTTAGTGAAAAAAATGACTTTTTTAAATATCCAAGAATTCTTGGTTTTTCTAAAAAGTCAATAAGGAGTTTGAGAAGCAATCTCAAACACACCTTTAGAGAAGTGGGAGGACCACTATATTTCTGAGGGTTTTCACAATTGCATCAGCTCCCAAATCTGGTTCTAGGGGCTTTATTTGGGAAATGATTTAAACCATAAGGGATAATTACTTGGTTACTAAGTAATTATCCTTATGTTTGGTAATTATTAGACTTTTAGATTCTTACACTTAGGCCTTTCTAAATCTACAAGCTTCATTGTAACGATCTGACTTTTCTCAACTAATATTTTGGGAATTTATCGGAGTTTTTCTGTACAAATGCAGAACTCTGAATTTCAAAAGCATTTATATCCTAGGATATTATCTGGTTTACAACATATCATAACCATAATTTAAAGCAATAAGGAAGAATGTACCAAAATAAAAATCTATATCAAGTCCAACTGATTGGTGCTTCGATCTCCTCTCGTACAACGACTACTACTTGAACTTGCAACACATGGAAATCTACAACATCAGACGACAAATCTGGTGAGTTATAAAATACACTATTTTCATGTCATTATACTCTACTTCTCTTCTTTCTTTCTTTTCATACTCTATTATTTTGTTCTCTTATTCTCATACTCTATCATTTACACTTTTTTTCTCATACTCTTGCATTCTAATCTTATCTCTTCATACTCTAATCTTCTATTCTCCTCTTTTATACTCTTCTACTCTATCCTCATCTTCTCATACTCTTCTAATATATTATCATCTTCTCATCTCATTTTTTTTTATTTGTTGGAATAGTGTCCAATTTCATAACTAAATTGGTAAGAATATCCATTAATAGTAGGGTCCTTTTTGGGTTGTCTTCAATGAACCAAGTAGTATTTGAATGTTATAAGAGATATATAAATAATTTATTTATTATTCATGTGAAGATTAATTAATTAGAACCTAGCTTGAAATTAATTAGAAACTAGCTTGAAATTAATTAGATTTAATCTAGAATTAATTTGTGTTAATTAAACGTTCGGGGACTGAGTGTTAATTATTCAACAGTTGAATGATTACTCTTTATTAGCTTCTTGAAGAACTCAAAATCTACATCAAAGGTCTTCAAGCATATTGGTTTTGCTAAAGGTTAGTAAGTTTTATTCCTCTTGTAGTTGTTAATATCAATTAGGTTAAAGATCCTTACAGGTTTTAGTGTTTTCTTGTCTTAGATTAAATTTGTATGCTTTCCGTTGCCATGATAATTAATCTAAGAAGTATATAGAAAACCTATCAGTTGTATCAGAGCCTTGCTTAAATGATATTTTCCCTACATAATGGATTGAATTTATATTTTGTTTACTTGAAAAATCGAAAATAAGATTATCATTAGGTTAAAATTTTGGAGTGTTATGGATTTAACATTGGTTTAAAATATTTTTGGTGATTATCTACAAAAGGATTTGATTTATCCTGATGGATTGTCTAGGATTTAATGAATAACCAATATCTAAGATAATGAGAAAGCCTAGGAATTTTCGAAATTCCCTAGGGATTTTCAAAAAATCCTAGGGGCTCCTAGATTTTCTTGGTAATGTTGGTTAGGGTATTTGAAGTCCTTCCTTATTTAGCAAATTTGAAAATTTAAATAGTCAAGGATTTTAAGGGATTAATTAATTTTAATAGTTTAAATTAAATTTGGATATATATATATATATATATATATATATATATATATATTAAATTCGGAATTTTCATAAATATTTGGATTAAATTAATCATTATCATGACTTAATATTTATTTGGTTAGTTACTTAAACATAGATAATTATGATTAATTACTTAATTCAAATTTGATTTCTGAATATAAAAATTTCAAAATATTTAATAGTGATTGAAATTTTAATGGTGATTTAATATTGTCATGTGTTCTCACATGGTTAATTAGAATTAATATTATTAAACAATTTTGAAGTTTTAAAATGTTTGAAAACACACCATATACTATATAATAGTTTATAAATAGTATAACTAAATTACATGTGTCCTCACATGTTTAAATACATCGATAGTTGGATCAAGACTAGGCCTTATCCTTTCTAAGCACTTTAAGATAGTATAAGGAAACGACCTATAAAATGATCATTGAATAGGTAGCCTGTTCACCCACCGCTATTTGTGTGGACCAATGGAGTTAGCCGAAAGGGTTCAATAGGTTGATGTCAAGTTAAAAGTGTTAACTTAAAAGTATCCAAACATAATTCCCGTTTAGATATTAGCAAAATGTGAAATATATGCTAATCCATGATAACGCACATCAAAGTCTTTATTTGTCTATTAATGGAGTGTATGTGGTTAACGAAACATTAATTTAAGACTATAAAAGGAAGGGTGACGTGGCAACTCGATTTTATGGTTGTTGATGGAGGGTGTCTGGTTAACCGTCACATCAATTTTAGATCATAAATGAGAACGAGTGTGTTATGCGTGTTTGCATGGTTATTCACAATCTTGTTTTTGATCTTCAGCATCCCAACCACAAAAGGAAAAGCATAATCTGAGATTAACAAGCCATTGATAAAACCAATGGATCTCAAAAGATCTAGGAATTTCATAGTGATTGAAATCGGTAAAGTGCATTATCTACCTAAATAACTGTGTGGTGTGTTTACGGCATCTATTTACATATCATGAAGCCAAATATGGATCCTAGCCTTAGTAAATAATTAATTAGGGTTAAAAAAATTATTTTAAGGATTAAAAAACAAACAAGAATATAATTAATTGAATAATATCTACAAGAAAATTCCATTAAGATATACTGCAATAAAAAAACCTCTCGAGAGGATTAACTGGAAGGATGATCAAATTCATATTTTGAAATAGTTCTCATTTACGAATAGAAAGATCATGCTTTTGATAAAAATCTTCCTAAGGTTTCTCTAAACACTACATCCCAATACTATTAAGAATAATTATCAAATTGCATATTGAAGTGAAATGAAATTTCATTTAGTTAGAAGTTGACTGCGGTAACCAACTAAGCTAACAATGTACATATAATCAGTTCATTCTGATTTCGATATGTACAACTAAGAAATGTGCATTAAAGAGTTGAATGGATGTAGAAATCCTTTGGGAATAACATAGCCAATCATAGAAAATCTAACTTCAAATACTCTCAAATTCGCAATCATGAATAGAAGTGTCAAAAAGAAAGAAAGGTTTTTCCCATGCGTTAAAGGTGATTAGTGTTGAGATACCTAATCAGCCTCAAACGTCAAGGAAAACAGGTCGGCTTATTCTGAGACTTGTTCCCATGCGTTAAAGGTGATTAGTGTTGAGATACCTAATCATCCTCAAACGTCAAGGACAATAGGAAGGCTTATTATGAGACTTGTTGTGATAAACTATCATTTCCAAATTTAAGAAAAGGGACTAAGAAAACATAAAATCCCAATACGTCTGATAGGTAAGACTAAAACATAGAAGAGATAATTTAATCATGGATTACGAGACCATGCTACTATCCATAGGATCAAACAATAACTCATTCTCGTGAATGTTTCATCTACAATCGGATATGATATTTCACAATATCATTGGAACATTACTACCAGTCCTTAAGTATTTTACTAAAGAATGAAGTATTCACATTCGCAAGAATATGCAATGACTGAAAGGGAGTAATAGGACTAAAGCAAGGAGAAACAAAGTTGATCATGAATATCAAGCTCTTGCTACAATTTATATGATGAAGAGATATCTCATTATCTTAAATATTTAGTTTATGGTCTTATGATTCCATAATTGTTTATATAAGTTTAACGAGATTGTTCTGTCTCATTTAAATTTAGGACATTTCATATGTTTTATATTTAAAAGAAAAGTCATGAATCTATGAAACTAGTATGTTAGGAACATTTCAAAAGGTCAATTCTAATATTTAAAAGAAATATAATATTGTGAAATCATATTATTGAAAAATAATAATTGCATTACTAAAGGTCGAATTGGATAGGACTTTGAAATTCATTTCACCACAAGTCTTATGATTA